CATTGCCAAGGTTAAACTTTCTGAAATGCGAGTTAAACTCCAAGGTCAAAGTCATGAGGTAAAAAATGTTGGTACCCAAAGAAAGGTCGTGTCACAAGGAATAAACATGTTAAGTATGAAAGCCCTTGCACCAACCATTCAGAAATTATGTTCAAGGTTAAAGTTTTTCAAAAGTAGGTAAAACTCAAAAGTCAAGCTCATGAGGTCAAAAATGTCAGTACACAAGGGAAGGTCTTGTCTCAAGGATCACACACGTGAAATATGAAAGACAGGATCAAGGTTATTTTCAGAAGTAGGTAAAACTTCAAAGTCAGAGGTAAAAAAAAAAAAAATAATGGTACCCAAAGAAAGGTCTTGTCGCAAGTGGAAGCCCTTGCACTAACTGTTCTAAAGTTATGGCCAAGCTTAAAGTTTTTCAAAATTAGTTCATACTCCAAGATCAAGGTCATGAGTTAAAAAATGGAAGGTCTTGTCACAAGTAATACATATGTGAAATATAGAGTCCTAGCACGAACCGTTCATAAGATATTGACAAGATTAAATTTGTTCAAAAATAGATCATACTCCAAGGTCAAAAAGGCAAAAAAAAAAAAAAAAAAAAAAAAAAAAAAAAGGTTCGTACCCAAGGGAAGATCTTGTCACAAGGAACTTGATATCCATGTGAAATATGAAAGCCCTAGCACTAAACTTTCAAAAGTTATGGCCAATGTTTAAGTTTGGTAAAATTTTGCAAAAGTGGGTCAAACACCAAGGTCAAGAGGTCAAATATAGTGGTACCCCCCTCCCCAAATGTCTTGTCACAAGCAATACACGTGAAATGTGAAAGCCATAGTTCCAGCCAATCAAAATTTAGTTATGGACAAGGTTAAAATTTTTGCGGACAAACAGACAGACAGATGGACAGACCAAAATCTATATATATGCCCCCGAATCTTCGATTACGGCACCAGGGTATAAGAAAAGGATGGGCTAGTCATTTTTCTCAAAAGTGTCAATTAAGCTTAGCAAAGTGGGAGACTATTAATGTTTTATGATGTTTAAAATCATGTCCACTTTTCTGCCGGGCTTCCACCAGTAGAGCTAAAATTTCATTGTTCAACACATGAAATAGTGAGAGTCAAAGTTTACCACATTCGTACATCAAACACCACCAAAACTCTACCTTCAATATATTATTCTATAGTATATACCCTTTTCATTTAGTATCTTTGTGTTTTGTAAAGTGATAATTGTGATGCAAAAAGTAGAAAATGTGTGATTTGGGAGAAAGAATAACACATTTATAGAAAAAATTCTGCAGATGTCTCTTTCTATATAGCTTTATAAAATTTTGAAAACCTGGTATGTTTGAATGAAGTCAGAGAAAATTCGGACTTTGATAATTTTTTTCCCTTTAATATTTGAGTTTGTAACTAATAAATAAACCTTAATTTTTATGATTAAGTTGATTTGAGTGTCTCTTCATATTCATGCTAAAAATGAAAAAAGTTGAAGATAACGAAGAGTAATCAATCTTAAAAAAACCCTACAAACTGAAAACAGGGCATAAAACACGGACCTCTGGAAATTACAGGGATCAGGTGCCTAGGGAGAGTAAGCATTCCCTGTCATCGGCCACACCCGTCGTTAGCCCTGTGTATTTGATCAGGTAGATAGAATAATCCGTTGTCAAATCTATACTTATAAATTAATAAATTTTGCAAATAAACTCCGAAACGGGTGCACCAGAGTTCTTACTAACTTCTCTATGAATACACTAGATGCAAGATGATGTCCGTAAACTATATTCAGAATTCACTCGATTAGTACGTGCCGTATGTTAAATTAAAAGTCTACTTTCATTTTCTATAAACAACCATGAAATAGCAATAACGTGAGTACGGTGGCGGTTCCGGTTGGCGGATCTAAGTTACTGGCAATTTTTTATGAAACTAACAACAAGCAATCGTTTATTTATTTCATAAAACGTCATCACTGAATTATTCAATCAAAACTTCATTTAAATGATATAAAAGAAATTGGTTGTGATAACCTATTAAAAAGGAAAATATTCAAATTACTTTCGACATTCACTGATCTTACTATTGACGGAAACTTCTAGAACATCGTATAGCATCGAGCATGTTAAGCAGAAAAACGAGGCGATTATAGCCTCGAACATAAAAAAAAAAGCTTTTGTGTGAATGGTCATTGAAATAATGGTAAATCATTGGTAATACTATAAGGTGTGAATATATTTATACATATTGAAAGACTATTAATAGGTTTTCATAATTTATCGGTAAAATTTGTATATTCCTCACTGAGAGTATAGCGGCAACGAACCCGAGGTACAAGCTGTACTTCGTAATAAATTTGCTTACATGAAAAGAGAAAATTAATGAATAAGGTATTGTTCAAATACAATTAAAGCTGTTAAATTTTTGTGCTTTTATCAATACATTTCAGGTTTTATTTTTCTGAATACAGTCTTTTGTATCAAATACTCGGCCATAGGGCGTTAAAACCTAATGTTTACCCCCAAAAAATAGTCATTAAAATGTGCATATTCGCTGCTTTTATCCTTGAAGGAAATAAAATAAGAGCACCTGAGGTACAATATCCATAATATAGTATAACAGGTTTCACAATAAACGTCAATTAATGAAATTGTTTTTTCTTCTTCAAGTTTTTACAAGGGGGGGGGGGGGAGGAGGGGTACATCTACTTCTGCTTTAAAGGTAAATGCGGGATTTTGTACAAAGTATTTCTAAATTCCTGCTATAAGCCTGTTGGTCGTGACTAGAAACTACAATATATGATTGGAATTTTTCTGTCGGTAGTAGTTCAAATTCAATTCCCCGCGCTTGCGCGGGATTTCATCTAGTTTAGTATAAAAAAAAAAGAAGGCCTATCAATCGGTATGAAATATGTCAGTCAAATTTCGATCCAATGATAAATTATACTTGCTAATAAACATGGTCATTATAACGACCATAGAATTTACGAAATGTTGACAAGGTTGTTGAAAATTGCATCAAGAAACAGCTGGACTCAGGAGCTATTGAACTTTGAATTTCATATAACCATTAACAAGTTGTGGATATAGTGGCCTATTAATGCTTAATTTGCGAGTTAATTATTTCCCACCACCTTGACATATGAATGGTGTAGCCCCCCCCCCCCCCCCAGCATTCTAAGATTTTGTTAGACACTATAATATATCGAAAATGCATGGCCCGGGTTTCTAGTACACCTGTACTCTGAGACACTGTAAGATTTCCAAGTTTTGTTAAGTTTTAGAGATTGCTAATCTACCGGTATATGAAAATACTAAAGGTACAAAACAAAATTTGGAAACAAGTCTAGGGAATCCCCACTTTGATGAAAATTTTCAACAATAATACATGCATGTACACACATTGTCAATGGAACACAAGAAGCAAATCAGGGAGATGACTTTCTGCAAGTCTCTTCTATTCACATCCGTTCAAAATTATTTTTGCTTTTCATTGTCATATAAACAACAAAGCATTTCGTGGGAATTTGTCAAATTCCCTATGAAATGCCCCCCCACCCCCCACCCCCCGTGTGTGTGTGTTTGTTTCTTTGTTTGTTTTTTTTTTAATATCTAAATCAGTAGATACTTCCTTGTATATATTTTTGCTAAGCCGTATGTACACTGTTATTCTCCTTAAATTTAATAAAATTTCAATATGTGATGAACACTTAGTATTTGTTTTTTCCATCCCTTTCTTTAGTACATGTGTTCTATATAAAATATATAATTAGGTTTATTATAAGCATTATAGCTTTCGTTATCTGTAGTAAAAATAATATTCAGTAGAAGTCGATGGAAATGACCAATGGCTAGAAATCTCATAACAAAACGTAAATTGCAATAAAGTCACTGGAATTTTACATGTAACAGCTGATATGAAACACATTTAAAAAAAAAGTACATGTGATGCAATTAAAAGCATGCCATGTTGTTAAAGAATTTAATAATTTTTCTGAAGGTTTTTGATCGACAACTATTTTCATCCTGAATTCAACAAGGGACTGGCAAAAAAAAAAAAAAAAAAAGAAAAAATAAAAAAATAAAAATAAATAAATAAAAATCAAAAGGCTTTTATGTGCCTGTCACTTATATAAAGTTTTGTTTAAACATGTTTGAATCCCTCAGAAATCACTCTTTTCATTAGTGGTACGGTTAACCTCATAATATTGTCCAACACGGAAAATGTTCCAATTCACATAAAATGAATAAAGGTAACACCCACATTGTCTGACGTACATCGTGAAATTACAATATTAATTAGGTCTTATTCAGGTGTGACCATGCAAAAAGCAAGTCGCACCTATACGCTTCAGAGTTTTCACCTGTATCTCAATAAATAATTCTGTAAAAGAAAAAAAAAATATAGAGCATAATAACATCGTTTAGTTCACCAGAACTTAATGTATGTCTTTGCCTTTTACAAATAGGAAGTTTTTTTTTATTTATGACAACAGTTTTGCAACAGTACAATATAGTAAATTTTCCTGTTGTTCCTGTTTGATTTAACCGTTATATTGTTTAAAAAAAAATTGCCGGGAGTTTTTTTTTTGGTTCAAATCCTCACACAGGAAAGGGCACAGACGTTAGATCTTTTTTTTTTAAATTTTAGACATAGCCTTGCATAGACTTTTATTTTTAGGATGAAAGACTAGTATGGGCGTGATTTAAGTATTTCCTACAACTTTGTGATACCATAAATAATTTAAATTCAATTGATAGGGTAAAACAAAGACCTGCATATGTATTTAAAACTACATCAGAGGAGACAGAGAAGGTGTTATTTTAAAGCATGCATTTTATTTACAAAAATGTTAAATATCCAAAATTTTCATTATTTTTTTTAAAAACACTCGCTCATATATGGTGTTGTCAAAACTTTTCCAATGCACTTGACCTGGACATGTTGTTGAAAATACATCCAACTGCGACAGTTTTTGTTCCCACTTACGGACACAGTGGCAATTAGTCACAAAAATCTAAACGAAGCGTGAATCATTCGCGGCCCATCATAACACACTCTGATCTACAAAGTGACGCCAGGAGTTAATGAGCGGCTTGTCTGTTCTGTTAGTCCGAGGACCTTTAGTAGCCGACCATAACAATGGCGTAGATATTGCTGGACATTTATGACAGTACATTGTTCTAGTTGTTGGTTAATTTTTATATCACAATACTGGAATTCCCATGGATTTTTTATTCGTAGAGGAAACCATCTTTGGGATTATTTTCAGAACATAAAATACTGGGCGTTTTTTTTTCACTTTTTAATTTTGAAAATAAATCAGTGACATTATTTTCAACAAAATACTCAACTGCTGGATTTCCCACCACTTCAGTGATCATTTATGCTGAATTATGGATCATAATCACACATACTAAATTGGAGATTTATAGGGACTTAAAACGAAACCATGGATATTGTATTTATAGTACAATTGTACAGAGTAGCAATATTAACGTAGGAAGTATATATTTTGAACAAAAGAATGAGCATCACCCCGAGGACGTGCGTTACGTAAGAAGAGGAAATACTCAGTCTGTCTTCTGTCTGTCAACATGAATTTTTCCACATTTTTCTCCAACATAAGCATGAGTGAGACAATGTCTACCACAGAAGCCACATACTCAACTGGACAACCACCGTCCAGTGGGGAGTTAGAGTCTCTCGCCGCAACCTTACTGGCTAAACTGAACAAGGAGGAAAAATTTCGCCAGATTCCACTGACATTATTTCTAGTTGTTCTATCGGTAACCGGATTGTTGGGAAATGTCTTGGTTTGTTTCATATACGGTAGAGTGTATAAAATTTCTAACTCCCGGACGTTCATTATGAGTCTTGCTGTGGTGGACTTATTCACATGTGCCATAGGAATTCCAATGGAAATAGCGACTTCACTGGATCAGTATCAGTTTCACTCCCCGTGGATCTGTAAGATCTCCCGGTTTATGAATATTTTCACAACGATAACATCTGCAGTTGTGCTTGTTCTCATTGCAATGGACCGTTATCGGAAAATCTGTCGGTCCTTAGAATGGCAGATCACGAACAAACATTCCAAGATACTTTGTGTTTCCTCTGTGATCGCAGGGCTTGTATTATCTTGGCCCGCATTTCCCCTTTATGGAATAAAGTCTACCGAGCTTGTTTTATCTCCAGCTGTGAATGGAACATCTACCGAGTGTTCGATTGACGATTCGTCCAAAAACACACGAATTCCGCTTATATATGAAGCATTGCATACCATGGTGTTTCTGGTCGGCGTCTTTTCCCTTGTGATATTGTACATATTGATAGGAAGGCGTGTTCGATTTTTCGCGCAAAAACACGAGGCTCGGAGAGGTAGCTCCTCTAATGGTCTGGACACCGTAGAACAACAGAGCGAAACCCGTCAAACACGGCGGGATAAACTTAGAAAGTTACAGAGCGAAGGTTCTTCATCTGACGGCGATTCAAATGTTTCCACCGAAACAAAAACGTCAGTTGTGAGAAACGCTAAACATAAAATAAGTTTTACTTTGTCCTCTGGTGTAGGACACAACACGGTGGATATGAAACCTGGTGCTTCACTTAAAAGAAATAACTCGAGCTGTTTGAACGCACCTATAATGGCTAAACAGGCAAAATGTAGAAAGACGCTAGCAAGGAACACGACGTACCTTATGTTTATTATATCTATTGTGTTTATTTTAAGTTTTGTGCCAGTGCTTACTTTAGTGTTAATACGAGAAGTTAAGAAGGATTTCGTCGATAGTTTGTCAGACTCGGAGAGAACTGCCTATAGGTTCTTTTTAAGGTCTTACTATATAAACGCCGCCATGAACCCTGTCATCTACTCCATCTTTGACAGACGATTCAGAAAAGCGGTGAAAAGTACAACGAGAGAACTGATCAACAATTTTCCGTTTTGTAAATCTTAATAAGCATTTATTTTCCTCCTGTTGTATTGAATTATTTTAACCAAATCCCCCAAATTAAAAAAAAAATCCCCAATAACTGACTTGCTTTTCTCGATTTCAATCGCTTCAAAGCCATGTTAATTTTATACACAAGGGTTAGCAATGTTGTCGATTTGTTCATTTTGCAATATCATGTTTGGTTATGTGCCTATGCATAATTGTATTTCCTTACCGTTACATGTGTACATGACAAGGATATTTCTATCTACGGCTTTAGTACTTGTAAATGAATGCCCCCCCCCTTGTCTGTCTCTATGATCTCCACAATGTACCCATGTTTCAAGTACAGAGTGCATTCCCTTATTTATTTAGTTCTATAAGCAATACGTTCCAAGTTTTTTTTAAAATGGTACCTATGCTGATTTGTATTATTTGCATATACAGATGAGTTTAACGCCATTGTACACAAATTGCCAATGTATGGTTGAAATGTCAGGGTATGTAAAAAAAAAAAAAAACAAACCCTATCCTTCCCTCAAGAAAGAACAAACATAGGTAATCAAAGATTACGAAGCTCACCTCGACGAATGTTATCTACAAGTAAGGCAAATTTCACATCATATTTTTTTTCTAGTTAGGGTACATCCCAAGATCAATATCCACGCAAGTTTGATTTAATTATAGACCTGCTCAAAAAACTTTTGACCTGTTAAGTAATCAAAGAAAATTTTGGTCAGTTCCAACATCCAAACCAAGTCTGGAAGTTTTCATCCTTAGATGCACCATCTATGCAAGTTTAATCATAACAGGCCATAATATTATATAGCTACTCCAAAAAAATTACCCTGGTCACTCATCTGGAAAATGTACGTCAGATTCAGAATCCAAGGCAAGTCTGGAAGTGTCCATCCCTAGATACATCATCCATGCTAATTTGGTTAAAATATGGCTAAAATTCACTCATGTGGAAAATCTAGGTCAGATCCAGCATCCGAAGCAAGTGTGGTAGTGTCCATCCCTGGATGCATCATCCATGCAAGTTTGGTCAAGGTAGGGCTTATAGTTACTTGGGAATGGACCTGCTCCTTAAATTTAACCTGGTCACTCATCTGGAAAATCTAGGTCAGATCCAGCATCCGAAGCAAGTGTGGTAGTGTCCATCCCTAGATGCATCATCCATGCAAGTTTGGTCCAGGTAGGGCTTATAGTTACTTGGGAATGGACCTGCTCCTAAAACTTTAACCTGGTCACTCATCCGGAAAATCTAGGTCAGATCCAGCATCCGAAGTAAGTGTGGCCATGTCCATCCCTAGATGCATCATCCATGCAAGTTTGGTCAAGGTAGAGCTTATAGTTTCTTGGGAATGGACCTGCTCCTAAAACTTTAACCTGATCACTCATCCGGAAAATCTAGGTCAGATCCAGCATCCGAAGCAAGTGTGGTAGTGTCCATCCCTAGATGCATCATCCATGCAAGTTTGGTCAAGGTAGGGCTTATAGTTACTTGGGAATGGACCTGCTCCTAAAACTTTAACCTGGTCTCTCATCTGGAAAATCTAGGTCAGATCCAGCATCCGAAGCAAGTGTGGCCATGTCCATCCCTAGATGCATCATCCATGCAAGTTTGGTCAAGGTAGGGCTTTAAGTTACTTGGGAATGGACCTGCTCCTAAAATTTAACCTGGTCACTCATCTGGAAAATCTAGGTCAGATCCAGCATCCGAAGCAAGTGTGGTAGTGTCCATCCCTAGATGCATCATCCATGCAAGTTTGGTCAAGGTAGGGCTTATAGTTACTTGGGAATGGACCTGCTCCTAAAACTTTAACCTGGTCACTCATCCGGAAAATCTAGGTCAGATCCAGCATCCGAAGCAAGTTTGGTAGTGTCCATCCCTAGATGCATCATCCATGCAAGTTTGGTCCAGGTAGGGCTTATAGTTACTTGGGAATGGACCTGCTCCTAAAACTTTAACCTGGTCACTCATCCGGAAAATCTAGGTCAGATCCAGCATCCAAAGTAAGTGTGGTAGTGTCCATCCCTAGATGCATCATCTATGCAAGTTTGATCCAGGTAGGGCTTATAGTTACTTGGGAATGGACTTGCTCCTAAAACTTTAACCTGGTCACTCATCTGGAAAATCTAGGTCAGATCCAGCATCCGAAGCAAGTTTGGTAGTGTCCATCCCTAGATGCATCATCCATTTAAGTTTGGTCCAGGTAGGGCTTATAGCTACTTGGGAATGGGACTTGCTCCTAAAACTTTAACCTGGGACGCCGACGCTAACGCCGACGCCGACACCGACGCCGACGCCGACGCCGGGGGTATAGCATAAGCTCATCTCGACTTCGTCGAGGTGAGCTAAAAAAGAACATAGATATGACATTTCCTTCTACCAGACTGATCAGTGGCTTAGGAAGCTCTAAACACTTATGAAAAATGTTTTTTTAGACTTCGAGAAAATCAAGATGTGTACATACTGAGCTTATCAAAGTTCATTTTCAACTTAGGGTACGTGGCATATTTCTCGAGGACAATTAAGTAATAGTGAACAGAAATCAATGCCGTTTCCTAAATTTGGGGGGGGGGGGGGAATATAACTTATTTTTTTTAATTACGTTATATTAGTCCAAAATAATGTTATGAATACTTAGGTCTACTTCAAGTTCTGTCATTTATTTTAAGATTTCCTTTTATTTCACAGGCATCTGGATCGCTTTAATTCGACTGACAAAACTAAGAGATATAAAAAAAAATTACCCCCCCCCTATGTCAGTTGAATTAAAGCGATCAAAAGGCTTTATTACATCAAAGAGCAGATCACTCTAACTGCATAAGACAAGACTACCATGGAATTAGAACTCTTCAGTAAGCAGTGTTTAGAACTTCCTTAAAACCAGCAAGATCAGACTCGGGGGCCATAAAACTTAGATGAGCTCACCTATCTTTGATCTTAGTCTCACTTTTACAAAAAGGAATTAAAATAGTGGAAAAGTGAGATCGAGATCAAAAGTGAGCTTTTCTAAATTTTATGGCCCCGAGGCCAGAGTAACGAAGGATACATTTATATAACTCTTAAGGTACACAGAGTACAGCTTGTAAATCGATGCATGTTACAGTATCTGATCTTTATATGTCGTTAGAGGTTATAATCTTTAAGCAGTGTAATTCTCACCTGCACAGGATATTGCATGTTGTGCTTAGGTAATTACAATATGCTTTATTAGTATATCATGAACACCCCCCCCCCCCCCCCCCTTATATCACGGCTATCCAGCAAACACGTGTCATCATCTCAAAATCCTTATCATTCCAGAATGTATTGAAGAAACTTCGAGACATAACGTGTCAGTGTAAAACTAGTTTTTCTGTACCTGCATGTTACATATTCAGTTTCTGCGTGGTGCAAGCAATGTTAGATATGCACTGCATGCATGTTGTGCAACTTCGTATGTCGTACCTGTGCCGTTTGTGTACATATATATTGTATGTATTGAATCGATGTCTTGTCAAAAGCTCTACAGACCTTGTTATTGTTGTGCAAATCCGACTATAAAATTTTCCGAGTCTAATTTCCCTGGGGACGTAAAATTTATGTACTAGTACATATATGAAGATGGTGGACAATCTTTGAGGCAAATTATCATTTCATACCCAATTGCGTTTTTCATCGTTCACTGGAGCTTTAACAACTGTCTGAGATTTTACCATACTGATTTTGTTTATGTTTCTGTGAATGTTAACATCATGCATTTGTGATCACGAAATTCCAAGTTCTGAAAGATTGCAAGAGATTGTAATAACACTGTCCTTTTTTCGTATGCCATCATCCAAGAAATGTGCCATTAAAAAATACAGTCAATAGTTCATAATTTATTAATTAACTAAACATAAATAATCATAAATATATGAAAATGTTCAAATATTTTTACTGTCTATATTTTGTACTAGTGTAAAGTACCTAAGTCCGGCCATGCGCTTTAAGATAAATGACTTACAAGTACCATGATACACCCTTTCACACATGATTTTTAAAGTTAACAATTTCCAGAAAAAAAAAACATTACTACACTTCTTACTAAGAAGTAATTATGCAATAATTGTTTGAAACCGGATTGGGGAAACCAGTCTATATTTGCATACAAATTCTCTTAACATGAAAAACTTAATGGATAAAGGCTAATATTGCTGTAGTGACACAGACCATATATCCTATAAATATTTCCTCACAAACAGTTTGCATCACAATTATTTTAAAGTATAAATAAGAAATGCCTGAAAGACCTTTGGTTGGCCCCTTTTCATTGAAAAGTGGCCGTAGATTACTCTATATATCTATCCTTCCCGTAGAGTTAATTTAAATTGGTAAAAATTTCAACAATATTAACGATATGTGTAAAGGAAAGACGTAAAATATTGATGACTCTACAATGCAGTCTGTCTCCCTGAATTCACTCCATGACTGGCAAGTTTTACGAGATCTAAGATGACGTCATTCTGGTTTTCCTAATGTAACGCAATGACCAAGAGGCAACACTTGATGGCAAAATCTCAGGAGTTCTGTCACGTGACTAGTGACGAAATTCTTGGATGACTAGTTAATAGATTCCACTGTCTTGACCAATGTTACAGATAATTTACAGCGGTTTTGACATTAGATTCACAGAACCGCGTGTGTGGGAGTGTGGCTAGAGGACTTCTTGCGTTGTCTAGACAGAAGCAGTGTCAAGAGTCGACTCTTGCTTTGAATCCCCTTACCTAAAAATAAATCAAAATAATCAAGTTGTAAAATTTTTCAAAAAGTTTTTAAAAGACACTTTCAAGTTATATTTTATTTTGTATTTTACATGTACAAAGTATTACATGGTCTGTGATGCGAGGGAGAATAAAGATATACAGGTAAAACAATGACGCGTTCTGACTGGCTAAAGATCTAAGCACATAATTGTTGTCTACCTAATCAAATAAAGATAAAACTAATACTATGAAAAGTGATAAAAATCTACAACTATCAATTACACTTGCTACAGGTGACAATCAAATCTGGAATCAAAGGTCAGTTTAAATCATACTTTGTCATGTTTGTAGAATACAACACATTATTATGACCTCGAATTCCGACAATGATATTTTCTAGATGCACTTGGTTATTTTAATATTAAGCGATTGTTGAGGAGGAAAAGGGGGGGGGGGTCAACGGCAAATCAAAGGCTTCTACGTTTTACATATAGTGCTTTCAAGGGCATGCGCATTGAGGTGTTTAAGAAGAGAGTGTCTAAGGTCTTTCAAATAGAATAGAGCAAGATACATGGAAATTTGATGAACAGGATACTTCCAAGCCATTAACTGATTAAGTAAATATCAGGGACATCTAAACATTCTGGATAATCTAACATAAAAAAAACTTTATATAGAATTCAAAGATCTACTAAAATTTGCTTGAACTCTTCAGTAACATAAGTGTACTAGTAATGTAACATCAACTATAAAAAGAAAAACACGAGACACTACGTTGTGAACATTTAGTGTTGAAAAAAGACGTGGCAGACTTAGTGCTGTTGCATACATTTGGTCTATCTACGCCATTTCTAGCAGTCCCCAACTTGTGGAAATTCAAACTAAGAAAGAAACTGTTGAAGTGCTACAGATCTACTATCTATCAAAGAAAATAAAAATGAAACAACGAACAACCAACACCATCGAAAATTCTAAACCTTTGCACTCAAACTGGTGTTGGTGAGCGTCTTTTCAGGCGTTCAAGCATAACATTAAGATACTCTCGATGCAGAACGGAAGGAGAGATCTTAGTCAGATCCGTAGTGCCCATGCGCGGACTTCTGTGAGAATTCGTACCCAAAACTCTGTTTATTGCTTCCTCTGTAACTCCACTCTAATGTTAAAAAGACATCTTTGTGTTATGAGCGTAAAATATATCAATCTGCAAACACAAATCTAGATTTTTTTTAGTGGTAAACAAAAAAATTTTTAAAGCTTTTTTTTGCATCATGTTCAGAATGATTCACAATTCAAAAGCGTTAGACACACCGCAGACTATTAAAAATTTTCCCAAAATACCAGGAACGGAAGTCGGCGTTTGTTTTTAATGATGATCACAGAAAAAGTTAATAAAGCAAACAAAGTCTAGGAAAATGTCGCAAACCAGAAGTTTGTATTGGGAATTAGATATACCTAACACTGATACCTTAGGAATCGTTTCTTCTCCATAAATAGTCTAGAAAATAAATCACAACTGAACACGGACTTGGTAACTACTTGTACCTATAATATCCTATTCACTCAGAACATAAAATTAACATCTAAGATCTGCTTTCACACATGTATAAAAACCTAATTCGTGCACAGATGCGTTAAACTATGTAACTAGCAAACAGATGAACTCTTTAAAGTGTATTACATGTGCAGCGCACTTACCAGCGGACCAGGCGTCCGACTGAGGCGGGAACGCTTCTCGATTTTTGCTGCGTCCATTTCCGAGGCGATGGGCGTAATGCTGTGAGGCAGGAATGGGGAGGGTGTAGAGGAACTGGATGGAATATGGCGTGTAAACGACTTCAGGACAGGACCACTTCTGCATTATGTAAAATCAAAATGTTGGCAAGATCTTTACACTTTTGGTTAAAATGAAATTTTCTTTTTATTATTTTTTGCGAAGTAAATTGCTATGCTGAGTAATTTGAAGCGACATGCAAGCTTTTTAAAATGGATATATTCTAAAAGGCAAAATAGCCCTGGTCATATATTGGCGGCAAATTATCCCAGTACATGTACATTAAATATCAACCTATACAGCAGTTAACATACGGGTATTGCAACATTGTGACTTTAAACATGTGATAATATAACACCCAGTTTCATATCGAAACAAGAATTTCTAGAAATGCCTTTTAGCGTTAACCCCCCCCCCCCCCTTTCCTGGGCAACAAAAGAGAAAGCACAGACTTCTTGTTTACAAAAAATATCAATGCTGCAAATTTCTGTGACCTCAATTTTGCTGAAATGTTATTGAAGGTTGACAACAACTCTCGTTGTGAGCAACTTTAGTTTCAACTATGAAAGTATGAGTTTCCCCATCATCACATGTATAAGACCCAAAGAGCATTTAAGCCATGTGACCTTGACCTTAACAAAACAAAGAAGGCTAAGAAGCTTGATCTCTTGGTTACAAGCAATTTTTGTGTCAAGTAAAACTTCTGATTATCATCCAATATAAAGTTTTGTCTCTTAGAATTTTTTTCATTTTGGAAACTATCAGAATTTTTCTCCTTGGACCCTATGACCTTGACCTCCTCTGAATGATCTTAAAGATATGTCCGATGATCAAGATTAACTCTTAGGCCAAGTATGATCTAATCAAGTTATTCCATTAAAATACATGTAATATGCTATGGATACAAGAATTTTACACTTCAAACCCAGTACACCTTGACCAAAATACCCTGGGCTAAAGTGAGGACATACCTGTACCCTCAAGTCACAAACAACCTTTATCTCAAGCCTAAGCTTCTAATTGATCTTGATATCTAAGATGTGGTTAGAGAAATAATTCAATGCTTTTGTATCCTGTGATCTTGACCTTGTCATAATGAACTTGATGCAAGGTCAAGTGACACACTTTGTCACAAACTACCTCTAAAGTCTCTTGTTCTTTAAGCTATGTCCAGACAAGAATATTTCTGTCATAGAAGTTACAACAAAACCTTAAAAAAAGTCACCACTCTTTTTCTTCAAGTTTAACAAGTCAATCAGGTGCACATCATTTCCAAATGGTATATACATGTATATCATATCCTCAGTTTGCAGGGGTGTAATAAAAACACAGAAAAAAAGGACAATGAACAACAACACTCAAACAATAAGTGGTGCTGAAACGTAAAAACAATAATCCTGTACAAAAACACTTGACAACAGATAGAAGTGAGGGATTAGTGGTTTGTTAGCACAATTTAAAAAGGTGACAATTAGAGGACAACACACTCTGTGCAGGTGATGACCATCAAGTCAAATGGCAAGACAAATCATTTCTCCTCATTTCCCATAAAATACAGGTTAATTTTACCTTTAGTGTTTAAAAAAATTAACTTAGGATCTGGAAAACTAGCCTTGTCTATTTCTCAGTGTTAGCCATAAGTAAAATTACAACTTTCAGTGCAGAACTGTGTCAATTTTTTGGTGATGTAATGTTTATTTCATTTATTTGTCTCGTGATGTGGTGTCTGTTTTTTCCCATTTACCTCATGTGTCGTTTTTGCGCGGCAATGCCAGCTAAATGGAGATTGCTACTGGCTTCTATATGTTGGTTATATGGGTTAGATCGAGCGGCGAGCGTGATGGTAGTCGAGGAAGGCACATCACTATCACTCGCTTCATCGGAGCTGAGAGAAACATCATCAGTTAGTAAAAAAAAAAAAACAAAAACAAGTCAAGCATGCATCATTCGATAATAATATACCTCTACATACAGAAAACAGAACTCAAAGTCTTCCACTTCCCCTAGATGCCGCAAGTGCTTTTCCTAAACAGATCACAAATTTCTTAGATTGACCCAAGATTTTCTAAGTATTTGTCAATGATACAATAGAATCTTACAACACATGATGCTAAAGCAGTTGGTTAAACAAATAATGTACTTGGGAGTACTTGAGAGTTTAACTGTTTGTAAATCAAGTTATCACTCTTGAACAAAGGGGTTTAGAATGGAGGACTTGAATCCCATTTTATAATGAAGACAAAGTCAAGCAGGGATGGGTCAAGTATTGGTTAATACAAGACAGGATGCATGTGATAGCAATAAAAGCATACTTCAGATGAGCAAAAATATAAAAACGACACACTTATTTAAGTCATTAGGGAGAGTAATACCAAACATAGATGGTAAACTTTATAAGAAATATAAAAATAAATATTTCTTGTCGATTAAAAAACATTTTATAACATTAAAATAATGTCAAATAACGAAATTCTGCAAAACATACTGAAATGGCCATACATTTGAAGGAATCAAATTTAGTAAGGAAAAAAAGGTACAGAAAAACAAGTCATTTTTATATGCACTCTTAGATACTTGGTTACAGTACAAACCTGATATCCCGGACTGATGGCATCGAAGCTGGCAGGCAACTCGGAGTCATGTCTGGAAATGACTCAGCTACAAAAAGGGGAGAGAAATGTGTAACAATCATTTCATAATTTATCATCATTTCAATAATCACAAGATCGTACATGAATTCTCAAAAATATTGTCTATTTTCTTTACAAATTTAATGAGAGTTAATAAGTTATAAATTATACTTATGATTCTGAATCAGAATTTTAAGAAAAACAAATCAACGTGCAATTATGAGAGCTTCTTAAGCAAAACTTGAGAGGTGTGAAGATTAGAGAACACTTCACTCCCCTCGTGATTTAGTTCAGCCAAAGTGAAAGTGAAAGTGAAACTTAACTGTTAGAGGAAAGATCAAAAGTAGTGTTACAGATCCATTCTCTTGTCCCTGCCGGAGAGCAATACACGGTTAGGACTGGGATTACAGGGAACACACACACACGATAAATATCAAAATGAGTATTTAGGACACTAATTTCTGAATTTTAAACCTTGACAAATTTTAATATTCAATATTTAAAAATTAAAAAACTTTGTGATATATTTTTTGGATGATCATTAATTTTAATTAATTTAATTAATTCCTTTGCTCTATTTCCTAGCTCTACTTTCTCACTTCTAGAATAAATTAAAGGTGCTTGGACACAGATTTGAAGTTAATATTTTCTCAAATTTTCTGTATAATTTCATGACTTATATGTTGCTATAGCATTTCATACTAAAATAAAATAAAAATCTTATTTCATCTCGAAGTTATTGAAACTTCAAATTTCTGGACGCGTTTGATTGACACATCCTTGCACTTTCACAAATTTTAATTTTATTCTTAATACTTAAGAAAAGTATCAAATTTGTTGTGTATTAATGAAAAATATTAGAACTATAATCCAGAAAATTCAGAGTAGAAATGTTCGAAAGCAAAACCCACTCACAGTATTGTAAGTCCGTGCTCAGTGGTGTGTGCAGACTTTAACAATTGAACACACCCGGTGAATCGTAAACATTAACAATAACAGAGCTCGTGCCCTGTTTACAAAAACAGTTTACATTTCACGGGTGTATTCAATTTGTTAAGCTCTGTACACAACACTGAGCACGGGCTGACGATATTAGTGAGAGGGCTTGCTTTCGCACATTTCTACTCTGAATTTTCTGAGTTATAGATGTAATGTTTTTCATTAATACACAACAAAATCGCTTCTTTTCTTAAATATTAAGGATAAAGATAAAATTTGTGAAAGTGCAAAGATGTGCTAATCAAACGCGTCTAGGAATTCGTAGTTCCAATAATTTCTAGATAAAATAAGTTTTTAATTATATTTTCGTGTGAAATGCTATTGCAATATATAAGTCATGATATTATACAGAAAATTTGAGAAAATATTAACTTCAAATCTGTGTCTAAGCACCTTTAAGCCATGCAGTATTATTACAAGCATTTTCAAAGCCTTTCACCCAACGTACTAAACGGACATTTTTATAACACATCAACATCTAGCCATGACAAGTCAACATCAAACTGTCAAAACGCTAAATTCTGAGATATCTCACACTGGGACAAAAAATGATCCCGTGGCCGGATACTGGCCAGGGTTTCTGCGATGGTTGGGACACCTTCCACGAGGGAGATGGGAATGTGACGTCTTAAGGATTGGGGAGACATGGGACGGTCTTGTTGAAGTGTTATGATTCTCCGTGGGAAGCGTGCAAAAGTGGCTTCAGGCATTTCTGTGTCGGAGCACTAGAGGGAGAGAGTGAAAAATATCGAAAGTAAAGGAAAGTGAAGAAAATGCCCTAAGCCTTTGGAGAGGTAGACTACCGCCAGTGAAACAGACACACCAAACCAAATATGTCAGTCTCAATTAATCACAACTTAATTGAACAAAACATGCATATTAGTTAGTTTTGTTTTTTTTCTATACCAACATGCTCATGGTGTGTGCATTTCTGACAGCAATCTAGTGCGCTGTGTGCTGTTACATAACAAAGAAAAAAAAAGATGGTTGGTGTAAGACCCAAAGCTCTGGAGGCTCCAAGAATCTGAGTGATACATCTGCAGCGTCTCCAAGGTGACCACCATAATGGCAGGGACCAACCATTGACCTACCTGCATGAGTGTAGCTGGTCCTCACGTTCAAGCCTACCAAGGTCTGGGCTATATTAGGGGTACCCTCTCGGAGCGCCACCTGTAGACGACGTTGCAATTCATCATGCGTTAATGAGCGACGAATCTGCATTGACATTATTGGTCGCTTACACGGACAAAGTGGATCTTCCTCATCACACTACACAATGGCAGGCAGCAGAAAATGACAAAATACGCCAGACATAAAAATATGTGTCACAACTACTGGGCACTCAATTCCCAAATAGAGGGAGTAAACCAAAATTATTATCCTTTGACCTATGTCATTTTGTTCCAGATAGAATTTGAGGTTTAAATAATGACAATTCCATATATTAAATACCAACAGTTCAAATATTACATATAAAACATACATAATACACTCCTTAATATGAAATTGTAAATGCAATATGAATTTTTTCAAGAAATTTCAATCAAAAATATTTTAAGTTCCATGACTTTAATGCAAACTTGTTAATTGAGTGATAATTATAGACTTTTAAAGCATTTGATTAAATTAGTTAATTCCAAATGATCATCCAAATCACATGTATATATATATATTCCTCCACCTGCCAGCAGTGACAATTCTTGTTTTACTCTTTTCTGATAAACATTTATAGGTATATAAACTAATCAGACTTTCTTAGTCATAAATGATATCGTAAGGTTTTGCTCCAGTTGAAAATGTCAAAATTTAACAAAATGATATGGACATCATCTATAATTAGACAGCTAATAAAAGTCTCGACGGGGCAGAATTGTCACCCAATTGTTTAAGCAGCACAGTTACGTACTCTACTAGAAAGTTGGCTATTTGTGTCTAAACAGGGAGATTGTCCAGGGCGGTCCAAATACTCCATCATTTGTCGGTAATTGGACTAAAGAGCAAGTGAAAATGTCAAATGCTTCTCAGTTACTCAGGCCAGTTTACACTTTCTGTACATTAATAGATGGCAAAGCAGTTTGTGATGCGATGCATGCACTCAAAAAAAAAAATGTGATGCACAATTATCTTAACTGCCATAATATGTCTCCGTGTCAGTTACAAAATCCAACAAATGTGTTCAATCTCAAAATTGCCTGTTCCATTAATTTTCAGCTGTGTTCAAAATTTTCTCACCAGTCCAAAAGTGTATGTATCATTTTAACTTTTAACAGAGTTACCTCCTTAAAGATCAGTTACTTACAAAGAAAGCCACGTCCCTCTGTTTCTCATCATCGTTTCTTTTCTTCATGTCTGCCATTCTCTGTAATAGTTTAAATTATTAAATATGATTGATAATGTGAAAGTTAAAACACTAACAACTGAATTTTTTATAGACTATTAAAATTAAAGAAATCATTCAAAGAGCATCATTCATAAAAACAATGCTCTTATAAGGGAGATAAAGAATTATATACAGTAAAACATGGTTATAGCGAACACGCTTATAATGAAGTTATGCTTACAGCGAAGTGATTTTCATTCCCTGCAGTTTTAAATGAGTTGTGGAATGAGCAGATATAACTAATTACGTCTAGAACAAATCAAAATTATTGGTCATTGGTCCCTGGCACATCTCTATAAGCATGTTTTACTGTATATATATATTTTTTCACTCTATATGACCATATTAAATTCACAGTTCTAAGTTTCTTTTACTACTATTTTCTAACTTAAGATAATTTCACAAAAGTTTTAATTTTATGCTTTCATCCTTTGGCAAATTCAGCAGAAATAAAACAGTGAAAACGAAGCTGTATTTAGTATACTATTGTATTAGCCAATGAACCGTCACTTGACCAATGTACATCTCTGAAGTCCCTCGTACCTTTGCTGCCCGTTCAATACTTCTCTCCTCCGAGAAGCATGGAATCCCCCCATTTCTTCTGCCTTCATACTTGCTGACAAACCGGCTGTCCAAAGTCTGCTTTTTGTATTTCTCCAAATTTGATGTGGTCTGTAAAATGTTTAAACTTCATGTAAATTAAAGCAAATTTATACAAAGATCCATAGTTCATGATATTCATATACATACATGTATATCTGATTATATATTACTGATCAGGTTTATAAAAAATCTTTCCCTATGTAACTTGGGAAATTTTAATTTTTTACATTCAAGTTAAAAAATTCAACAATATTTACATGCATTACATATTGATCTATTCATTTCCCTTTTACTTCCATTTGTATTTAAACTTTTCAATAATAATCATTTTAATTTTAAATTAATCTGAAAGAGTGATCATTTACAAGGAAAGCTACACATCATCTTTCAAGTATTTACAGTAACTACATGTAATTCATTTGGAATTTTATAAAACAAACCCAATTCTAAAAATTCTCTAATAATCCATGTCAAAATAAATCCAGCATTTTAATTTCTACTCTTACACCTACATGAGCTAAAAAAAACATATTCAATGAAATTAAATTTAAAAGTAATTGAGGCATATATACTACAAAATCAATAGCCCAATTTTTTCAGGTGAAATCAATACTGCTTATGAAACTTATAAATGACCTGGTTGTTATTTTTAGTTTATTAGCCAACAGATCATTTACATGCTGTATATAACTGTTATATTTGTCTTAATTGTGAAGGCTTACCATGTATAGATAAAAATCATAGCTTGGAAGACACTCACCACAAACTTATCTTAATTGGTTGAGTTTTTTTTTTATAAAAAGGATAACTACTGCTATTTTTTTTAAAGAAAAAAAAGGTTTTCATATGGATAGAAAACATTCTATTATATATTTAACCTAAAATTGAAATATGTCAAAAAGATAAGTATTAATTCCTGGTTTAAAGTTGTTTGCATTAAGTGTCCTTTTAAAAAGCCTAACATATAACACAGATTACACGTTACTCATGCCGAGTTTAAGCAGCTATACAAACACTGGAAAGAAGAAATGCTGCTTTATTTCATTATAAATATATCATCTGTAAGGAAAAGCGGGGTCAGTATCATCTTCAAAACTACAAACTTAAGCATATATTCAGCATTTGTTTCGTGGCCACAAAGACACAACAAGCAGTATTTTTACATTGTCTCACAAACCTTGGACCTGTGCAAGACAAATGAGCCTTGGAAAGCCTACAAGTTAGAAATAAACCAAAAAACCCTGGTTAATGTCCCATCACATATACAGATACATATAGTTGTGCAGTGATCAGTGCTGTGATGTATAAACATTATAGAACTCAACTGTGGTATATGAAACTTACGGAATAGTTTTGATCTTCCACGCAATACATGTACATGTAAATACGGAATAAGCGGCAAGTAACAATGTTTTATGTATCATTATGAAACTTGTTGCATAACAAAATTAATATGCATTCCGGTACAGATATAGAAAAAAAATCCAATAATTAAATCAGTATCATTTTTAATAAGTAAAATACTGGAAATTCTTAAAGATGGGAAATATGCTTTACAAGATCGATAAATATATCATGCGCTATGCTGTCATGCAGTTTAATACTATGTACAGCATTATAGGTCTCTACACTATGCTGCTGCATGTAGTATCAGCATGTTGTGATTTTTCTACATTCTACAAAACCAAAATCTACTAGCAGTTTAATTAATGACTAAAATCTGTCCAACCAGAAAGACAAACTCTATAACATGAAGTCTAATCCATAACAAAAAATCTGAAATCCTTAAAATCTTTTAATAAGTCAAAGACAATTTAACTTAAAAAAAATGAAAGAAAATAAAAGCCACCAGACAATACAGGATAAAATATTCGAAAGTTTAGCATGTCCACTTTCAAAATAAATAAAATTTGCTACTTTGAAATATCAATATTAAAACCCAAAGAAACATTTACCATATTGAAACATTCCTGCATAGAATTTGCCTCACTGATCAGATGTACGCTCTGCAGTTTAATGATTCAAGCCAATAAAAACTTTTGATGAATGCATGGAGTCACAATTATAGTAGGTACAATATCATACCATTCTTGATTATTGAACGAAACAATTGTCTGCATAGATCATAAGTGCAACAGAGGCTGTATTCCAGTAACTAATATTACACCAGCACTACTAGTCAATGTCATACATGTAAAACAAAAAAAGACGAAATGTCAGGAAAATTTTAAACTTGATTTAGCTTTATAATTCTGAATAACGGATAACCTCCCTTTGCTTTGGAGTTTATTAAGAGTTATCTCCTCATTGTTCACATAAGATTTTAAAACTTCAACACTTTCTTCCTGAATAAAGTTCTTGGAAGGGGAGGAGGAGGAGATTTGTTTACTGCTTAATCCTTGTCTTCTCAGATTAGTTTGTCTGTAGCTCCTCGAAGTTGTGGTACTATTTTTACTTTGAGTCCTCAACATCTCACCCTCATTCACAAAAGATTTCGTTTTTCTGAGTCCCAGACTTTTAGTTACACTTCTCACTGAACTCTTGGATCCAACTGTCTTACTTGAATATTTACTTCTCTGTGAAGCTACACTACCCGACTCTGCAATTTTGAGTTCTGCAGGTTTACAGATGGGAACAACTATGTTTTCATAGTCTTCATATGGACTCCTTAAAAAGGATTCAGTGTCCATTAACCCAGGCTTCTTTGGATAGGTGTTCCACAGGTCAGTACCATGAAAGTCAAAGGCAGCAAGATCTCTGGGAGAATGGCTTAGCTCCATATCCTCTCTAGTCTGTGAAATAATTTCAACCAGCTCTCTTTCAAGTTTTCTTGTATCATTCTGTGGTGCTGGAAAATCTTCTTGCATTTTTAACAGAAGCATTCTCCTGGATCCACCTCTACTGATATTGGATCCACCTCCTCTTTTTCCAACGGCCTCCTCATTGAATTCTATCTGTGAACTGGCTAGCTGCAATGTCCCCCTACCGACATCCTCATCATTTGATTGTTGAAAGATAGTGGACAATTTCAGTGTTTGTTTTGGTGTATATATTTGGGATGCATGTTTGACGCTTTTTGACTTGGAGGCTATTGTACCAGATCGGTATTGTTTCTGTTGGAAAATCTCCAAAAACTAAATTTCATGCAAAGACACTACATACAAGATAAATATCAGCAAGTTAGCAAAAGCAAAATATGCAGTTATACTGTTAGGAGCCTTATATAAGCAACACAGGAGTATGTCAAAACACAGTCAATTTTGTCTCATATTTTGACTCAGTTGAAATCCATCGTTATGGAATTAAATAGATTTGTTAATCAATTTGGAAGGGAAGGTTAAGTCTAGGTCAATGGAATTTTCTAAACTCACCTTTTTGTTAAGGTTGCCAGGGTTACCAAGGGTGTCATGTTGAGCATCAGAACAAGAAATAGAAGGCAAGGCCTGTTAGAGAGAGCCAATCAGAACCAAGGTCATAGTTTAAAGTAGACAAATCAGTCAACAACATGCATATTAGATATCAATAGGGTTATAACATATCAATATTATGCCTGAAGATAGGGATTAGAAAGGTCAAGGAAATGAGTGCATAAATATATGCAAAATATGAATGAACCAAAAAAAATTGCTTAATTGATATATGAATAATCAAAATTAAAAAAAACCCAACAAAGTGGCATTTGAAATGCATGCATAAACACCTGTCACCACAAATTAATCAAAACTACAACAAAAAGCATCAATGGATATTCTTGATGAGGTAACAAGTTGACTAATTTGTAAATACTGCAACTGAAGTTTTAATAACCTTCTGCATGGTCAAATTATACAGGCAAAACTCAATGACAAAAAGCTTATTCATTATCGAAGGAATAAGAAATGACATTGTAACTGTCTACATCTAAAATGTGTGGCAAAAATACAGCATCTGCATGTGCATAAGAAAATAAGTGAACAAAAACAGTGTCAATATTATTAGAAAATTGCAATGAATTACGTATTTGAATTTTTTTGCTGTGTTATATTAAGTTTTAGAACATGTGGACATCATCATCATGAGTGGGTGTCCAACACAAGTTTTACATGCTAGTGGTCAGTGGGCTACCTGATTGGTCACAGGGTTTAAATGGGTCGCAGATTCTTTTTCTCTGTGCATTCTCTCCTTGGGATACTGCATAGAGTGTATGTGATACGTAAAAATAAATTTCAAATAATACATGCCTGCAAAAAGACCGCAGTGACATGGAGGTATGCATAAATATAGAGTTGAAAGTGATGTTTTCTACTATAGCTAATAAAATTAGTGCTTCCCTTGTACCCAATTGCATGATCTATTACCAGGTGTTCACAGATGGGCAGTTAAGATGTGGATATATATATACTTCTGACAAATACCATCCCACTTACCCCATGTAAATTTCTACTACATTGGAAACATTGCTATGAAAAAAAAAGATGGCAGCTACATTCAGTTGAATCCAAAACAAACGAAAAAAAAGCTAAGTCTACATTGTTTGACATTATCTCATTTCCAAAAAAGTATCAACTCTAATCAAACTTTAGAATCAAAGAAATTGTTATTCCTATTTTAACGAAATGCTTTTTGATTAAAACAAATAAATACCATCACCACTCTATTCCCAGAGCCATATTTAACTGCATCCACAATTCTATATGTGAAACAAATTCTTCTATTGAGATATGGCAATTAGGACTAGCCAGGACAGTAATGGGTCTGAAGTGACACCTACCGTTAGGGATTTTGAACGTTCCTCCTGTTTTTTGTCCGACCCCCCGGATCCACCCTTGCGATCTTGATGTTCTTTGTCACGCTGCTTTTTGGACTTGCGTTTTTTCTTCTTTGGTTTAGGATCCACTGCTTTCATTTCAGGTTCCGATTCGCTGTCACTGTCACTAGAACTACAAACACAATGTTCCAAATTTATAAAGTCTGCTAGCAATTATTCACATTAATAGAGCCTGTTAACTCTCATAACATTTATAATACAGGTACAGTAAAACCTGCATTATAAAAGAAAATCCTGGAACAAGAACTTTAAGTTCCATATACTCAAAATTCTTTATATTTATATAAAACAGTGTTATATGAAGGATCTTGAAAAGATAATTAATATAACTTCCTTATAATCATTACTTCCTTTAATTCTTTATATTTATATAAAACAGTGTTATATGAAGGATCTTGAAAAGATAATTAATATAACTTCCTTATAATCATTACTTCCTTTAATCCAAGTTCATTATAACCAAGTTTAACTGTAGATCTAAGCATCATGAACAATGAAGATTTGTAGACATGCACGTACTCTGATTCCTGTAATGCCTCACGAACATTGAGGTCGGAGAGTATTTTCAGACAGCCATCCATTGTCCGTAATGACTCGTTATCTATTAACGAGTCCACCTCCTTACGACTGAGGTTAGCGTGACTGTGAGACTCGGGCTTTCTCTTCTTTTCTGTTTTGCGTCCGAAGTCTTCTCCCGAGTCCCGTCTCTCCTTGTCCTGCAACAGGAAGTGGTCGTCCACAGAGCTCTGTCTGCCATCCAGTGTACAGCTGTTGTCTTGACTAGCATCAATTCCAGAGTCTAGGCAATGAAATACACATCAACATTATAAAATATGGTACTTCTATAAACCAGTATGTTAATTCAATAACTTTGAGTTACCGACTAACTAAATAAAAGAGCAACTATAAATTCCAAGAAAACAAAATGTTGAGATCCCTATCCGTAAAAAATACTAAATGTGCTACTGCATGAAGGGAAATTTTCACACCTTTTCACCCTTGTTATCAGTGGGTGTCTTTAAGACGAGGTGAATTCAACAGAGACACAGCTTTTTTTGGTCTGGTTGACTTCAAGATGGGGTGATACTGTTTGCATAAAATATTCTAATAGAATACTTCTGTGACATAAGAATTTAACATACCAGCATCACTGTTTTTGCCACTTTTGGTCGATAACGACTGAAGGTTAGGGATGCGTGCACCAATCATACCCCTCTGTTCTAGCACTTGGTTTGTAATGTACCGAGTCATGTCTAACACAACCTCTGTTTGTTTACTGAAACATAACAAAAAAATTTTAAAGTTACATAATGAGTCAAAATCATATTTGTATCATAAAGTGAAAGGGTAACGAAAAATTTTACATATATTTAACTGCACTGTAAAGCAAGAGAGACTGCAAAATATAAGTGCCAGAAAAACTAAGGTCATATCTTTCATTTCTTGGGATTTGAGACAGGGTAACTTCTACAACTTTTCTGTGCACAGTACAATAAGGAAAAACTGAAGCAATATTTTTGTCTTGGGGCAAAAATATTTTTTTTCTCCATAAAAAAAGGTTTTAGGTTCTGAAACCTGTAATTTTCTGAAAACTTAGACTTTCAAGAACTGAAAAAAATTTCATGCCATGCTTTTCCTTTTTTTGCGCCACGGTGTCATTTTAATCAGTTTTTCATCCTATCACAATCTCTTATTTTAAATCTAGAAAGAAAATTTCTTTTTCCACAAAAACATAATACAGGCAATTATGCTATTCTTCCTGTTAATTAATTAATGATCGTAATATGAAGTAATTTCTGATACACAATAATGCAGCACTTTAGCGACTATTGTTATTAATATTAAACTGATTAACCTTAATAATACAAGGGATATCATTTCCAAAGTATATCAATTTTAGTAGTGCAGTGAAAAAAGATATGCAATTTTATCAAAAACATTGTAGGGGAACACAGATAAGTTAAGACAGGTGTAGCGAAGGTGAAAGTTACTCCACACATGGCTTCATACCTCAACAATAAATTTTTCTTTTTTGTATTTTTCCTGGTACTAAAATGATATAAAATTTTTATCTACTTCTTAAAAAATATAACCTGTATATTTGAAGTGCAGTTTTTCTTCACAGGATATGTGAAATGGCATTTTGTACACAGTTGTTCTTAATTTTTTTTTTCTTTGGAAGCTTATCGTACATATACATGTACATACATTAAGAGCATTAATATCACTAAAGAATATTATTCGGGGCTAAGGCTAAACACTCGTAAAAAAACCAGAAACATTTGACATGTACACTTACGCTTTGTTTTCCTGAGCTACTTCGTAATCTAGCACCACTTGAGACAACACTCGCCCCATTTCCATATAATCACCAATATTGAAATGACGCAATTCTTTCCTAGGAAATTAAAGATTATCTATTAAAATCTTTCACAATTCCAAGTTTGATTTAAATACCTTTAGGTGTTTTTGAAGAATTCATAAAAAAGTTTCACTTGATTAATGTACCTATTGAGTATAGTGCCACTAAATGTGGCCTCCAGGGTAAAGCTGTTGAGGACCCTCATCTGACGCCACATCACCACACGGCCTGTGGACTCCTTACACCTTTTGATTTGGAATTTACAGGATTGAAAGGAAAATTTGTCTGGAGACTGAAACAGAATTTGAAATAAAATTTGAAAGAACCTTAAAAATAAATGAATTCTAAGTTACATGTGGGGTGGGGTGGGGGCTTTTTAATTCTTATTTACCCTCTATGACATAAGCCAAGGGAAGGACCTCTCCCTAATATAACTTTTAGTCATATGCGAAGGGATAGGCAGGGAGGAACTCTAATTCTATCTTACCCCCTGTGATATGGGACATATTGGAGAACTCTAAATTACCCTCTGTGACAAAAGCCAAGGGAAGAGCTTCTCTTTGAAATAATTTTATCTTGTTCTTTGTGATATGAGTCTTATTGCAGGGTGGGGGTGGAGGAACAACTCTAATTCTGACTTACCCTCTGTGACATAAGCCAAGGGAAAAGCCTCTCTCTGAGATAGGCCTGAGCAGCACCAATTCCCTCATCAGTCTCCACTTCTGACGTGTTGTTACCATACATGAACACATTGTGTTTCCTACTGTGTCCATGCAGGTCACAGTATAGAAGAATCTGAAAGTAAAAGTAGAGATTAAATGAACAGTGAATATCGCTTCACCAACTTGATGCATATAACATTTATGGTTTTCTGTACACTAGACTGAATATTTTGACTTACATCATGTCTCTCTAGGATTTTCTCCATCATACTTTTGGTGAACCAAACTGTTGGAAAACTCTCCTTCCTTGGATGTCGGTAATTGCGGTTCAAGTCCCTGGCTGCCAAAGAACATCGGTAGTTTCCCACTATCACCCCATCAGGATTGAGCATGGGAACTATTTTAAATATAAACCTATTGCGAAGTTCCTGCAAAATATTTGAAAAAAAGTTAGATAATTGCACATTTGTAATTATGCATTTTCTAGGTACCTCAACCATCTAAGAACACTTAATAAACAAGAGACTCACTTTTGCAACTGGGTCGCCACTTGTGATGTAATCCAGCAGACCTTTCATCATCCAGCTGGCCTGAGATTCCCCGGGGTGGACGCGGGCGGTCACCACCACCACCTTCTTCTTGATCTGTTCCTCTCGCGAGGTATCTAACACACATACACAATGCTTATGAAATTTCATTGGACAACATTGTCATTATTTTCAAATTAAAGTGCTCATCTGGATTTCTACCTATTTTGTACTCTTTTTTGCATGACAATGGGTAAAGAGGAAAACACATATGCCAATATATATATATTTTTTGTGCATACACTATACAATTTCCGAGCCAAATCAGTAGAGCTGGAATTTTTCCTACATGGGTCCTTCTACCTTGATAAATAGATATCTGGAAATACATACACGTATGCTATATTACTATACTTACCAAAGTTGGTACAGGTGACAAGAAAGCAGCTGTTTCCAGCGCGAGTTTCACAGAGGACCTCTCTTTTGATCCACTGTCGACTTTCTGGTTTGTTTAACATGATGTCCAGGTCCTCTTTGAGATCAGTGAACGTATAGGGGTAACAATGGGCAAGATAATAGGTGTCATCAGCATTGGGAAATTCCTACAAACCAAACCCAGTTCAGCAATTGACTGCATTTTATGACATTCCATTTGAAAAACTCTATTTTCAAGCGACACATTTTAAGACATTATGATAAGGATTCTATGTGGAATAAAAGAGATGAGCTTACCATTTGCCATTCCAGTTCAGAGTAAGGGATACCTCTCATTAGCAAAGGGCAGTGTAAATGCATTATATTTCTAGAATAACTGAAAAAGAGAGCAATTCATATAATTATACATCTATGTATTTACACTGCAAACGCAACGTTCGATCGTTTGATACCTAGCTTACGATTTGATATAAACATGATTCAAGTGCATTAAAAAATGTCATCAGCAACTTAAGAAATTTCTTCTGAGCAAGAACATTAAAAAAAATTCTGAATATCTTTTAATTACTCTTTGCCTAGCTTTATCAGAAATTAATGGTACCAGTATGTGATTATATTATCAACCATCTGAATTTATATCTTTGAAGGTGATCACTAAAATATAAATCTGGTTACATGTAATTACATATATATAGTATAGTACTGCACTAACCTAATATGATGACCCGCTCTGACCCAACCTATAGACTTATTCTTGGCATCACTTTCTGAGTATAACAGTGGTCTCATACCTACAGATAAAATGTGACCTTAGACTATACTCAAATGTAATAATTTGGGCTGGACTGTGGATATTGGCCCGGGTAGCTCAGTGGTTAGAGCACCTGACTAGTATTGCATGGTTCCTGAGTTCGATTCCCTGTCAAGCCACACTTACGGAATGGTCTTCATTCCTCCTTTCCATCTGTAGTAAGGAAAGGAGGAATGAGAAGACATACCTTGAAAATTTATACCCGGGATCCCTGCATTACTATAATCAGGTGCTCTAACAACTAAGCTACCTAGGTCGATAATAATGGTCCAGTTCAATATATTACAATGCAGTATATCCAAATATAAACTAAAAAGCTCAACAAAATTTATCATTGATTAAAATAAATTTCAAAAATCCATTGTATTTTACAATTGCTTAAGTGAAATTAAAACTGACCATAATTATAAAGACTATCTCTTTTGAGTAAATTGACTATCCTGAACTTGTACACCACCCCGGGGACTGCGTTCTGGACCCTGAAGTAGTACCACTGGGTGTGGCGATTAGTATACAGGTCTGTTTTTAGCACCAATTCATATTCACACTGACCCCTGTAAAGAAATACAAATTTTAATGACCTGTTATGTATTTCTCAAACTTTCTACTCTCCTTAGATCACATACATGGAATTAATAAGCTACAGTAAAACTATTTGCTATTGATAATTTCCCATGACAGCATAATCTCAGATTGTATTTCCCATGAAATACAACAAAGCTCGGCAGTGGCTTACAAGAATAGAAAACAAAACAGATAATTCAATGTCTACAGGTTGAGGAAAAGATTATAGTCGATTCTACTGTGAGAAATGCCGTTAAGCAAATATTTTGGCTGAACAAAACTTTGACAGATACCGATTTTCATACTGAGAACTTGCATTCTTAAAAGCCATCAAAATACAAGATAATACCCGTCACAGACAAATGCATTAAGCCTATAAAAAACAGACTACCCAATATTATCAGAACAAATGGATTATAATGGTGTTTCCCATTCTTTCCTCTCCAATTGTTCAGGCTGAAACCTCTACTTTTGAAATAATACGCTATTGTGGTTGTTTTGAATAGATAAAAAGAAAAATATTTCAAATTCAATTTTTGAAACATTTAATACTCTCTTTAATTTAAATGGATTCCTTCAATTCATATCCTTTACAGTATTATAAATCATATCTTTATTTTGGTTTATTTTTGAATGAAAGTTTAAATTAAGCTTATAAATTTCCTTATATTTCAGGAAGCTTTTAGAATATTTTAAAATATTCCATTTCATAACATGATATTACCCCCTGCATGTATTTTATATAAAAGACCATTTTACTCATTAAACACATTTCATTCAGCCAATTTAAAGAAATCATAGAGCAAATCATGTTGAAAGGTTCAATCAAATACCCCTTTCTTATAAATTAACTGCTTATCAAAGATCTGAATTAAAGAGCCAATTATAAATCTATGAAAATTTCTCTTGTTCACTGAAATGTTGAATGAATTGAAAACGTTTCAAATTTTCCATTTGGCATGCTTCATCAGTTTAGAATAAAAAGTACATAAATAAGAAAAAAAGTCTCTTGGGTATAATCCTTTTCTAATTCATCCAGATTTTCCCATCCAAATCTACCCATGTCATGTGCGTCTTCAAAGATGAAAAACACTCACAGTGAAACCTGTATTGAGTGACCCCTCAAGCGAAATTTTACAAATTAAAAAAAAATAGTGTTAGAGTTCTACTGGAAGCAGAAAACATTAAAACAGAATGACTGCCTCTAATATTTGAAGCAAAATGTACATTAATTTTATACTTGATACATCATATGAAATACTTGCATAATGAAGAACTGATGCATATCAAACTACAATGATCTGATTATCATTTTAACCAGGTTCTCTGATAAAAAGGGATGTCAAATTACAGTTGCATTAGACCAGCAGTTAATTAATTAAGGTATTTTTATAACAAAAATCAATATAAGAACATTTAGATAACATATATGACAGGAAGTTGCTCAATATAATGAATCACTAAGGCAGGTTTACCCGTACATTGCAGTACAGATGTTTACGTGCACCTTTGACAAATAAATAGTACAATTTTTATAGTCTTGTTAGTAAACATGGGGGTACATAATAATTTACAAAAATTGTACATCACATAAAATCTCTTCTTTTCTGAAATTAATGCATTCTGGACTTTCTGGTACATTGAATGCCTTGCATACTTGAATATAAATCTTGAAATTTTCAAAATTTTCTTATAATCAAAAATCCCAACAAATAAGAGAGTAAATCAAAGTTAAATAAAATTACGTATCAATTTGACAATCTGACATAAAAAAAGTAGCTTTAATTTACTTACTTTTCTCAATATCAATTAACAAAATTAAGTACTAATGCAGGCAATCAATTCATTTAATTAGGATTTGTTTATATCTAAACATTAAATCTTAATCACTCGTCCTAAACAGGCAGAAATTGACACTAAGATTTATAATTTTAAGTCTCATTCAAGCCCTGTCATAAGTGTCATGTAAATTAAGTGTAATCTATGAAATAAAATTTAATTAATATAAAATACTTGTTGAAAGAGATGGCTAGTTTTTAACAAACTGCACTTGTAGAAAAATAATCTTTAATATGCATGTGCAAGAAAATGCAAATTTTGTGCAGTTTATCTTCTAAATTTGGTAAAAAAACTATTCCTTTATAAGTCTTATTCATTTGACTATATAATAAACTTTTATGGTTCATGCAGTCTTATCTTTATCAAAAGACTTGACATTTTCACTGTGATCTCAGCACATGTGTCTTGCCAAACCAAAAGTGCACATACCCCTTTCTTTGTTTAACTGCCTGCATACTTGCCAAAATAAATCCTCAAGAGGAACATGATTTTGACAAATATGTTCAGATAAATTGAATTTTTAAGTACACAAAGCACTAGTTTCTTTCTTATTCAGATTTATCCTACAACAGCTAAAATCTATACAAATTAGAAAATGATTTTTCTGGTAAAGAAGTAACTCCATTATTATTGTTTGAACACAAGTTACTTTATGTTTTAGCTACATGTAAAGTTGAAAAAAAAAATCCCCCTCCCCCGAAAAACTTGATGTTTTAGCTAAATGTAAAGTTGAAAAAAAAGTCCTCCCCCAAAGAAAACCTACACTCTTCGAGCCTGGCGTAGATTTCCACTCTCAAATCTTGATTCAAAGACTAGATTAGGACAACATCCTTCTGGGACGGGCTGGGGGGAATGGTCTCGACTGCTTCGTTCTGAATCGTACACAATCAACACCCCTCGCCATTTTGAGGTATATGGTGTTTGTTGGTTGTCGAAGGTCTTTGTAAACTGTTGGTCTGAAAATGGAAAAATTGAAAGTTCTATACATATACAATGTATGTATATACATGAACTTGATATATACTTCCTTTGCAATGGGATTTTACTATAAAATTTATGTCATTTGTTGTTTTTTAAGTTATACTATAAAATCACATATTTTGCGGGGTCAAATTTTTGTGGTTTGAGGAAAAACTAAGGGTTCATGGGGATTTGATTTTGTAACTGAAGGATTGCTGAGTTAAATATATGCAATTTTACATTTTGTGGTGGATATGAATTCGTGGGTCTCTTCATACCTCGAAAATTAACCCCCACAAAAAATTAGTGATTTCACAGTAACCTGTTTAATTTTGGTCTAGCTATCAGTAAATTTAATTGCTTGTAATATTTTAAGCTTCTCAGAAGCATGATGTGATTCAGAGAGAGAGAGAGAGAGAGAGAGAGAGAGAGAGAGAGAGAGAGAGAGAAACATTCAAGGAAGAAACATGAAATAAACATTAACTTAAACTTCTGATTTATTTCCATCCATATTAAGGTAAAGTTTTACTCCATAGCTCATTCAGTTTAAGAGAGTGAAATTTTTTATCTACAGGTTGCGGGTTCAAATTTTTCATCGAGTTTTACTTTTGGTACTTTCTGAAGAACTTTATAAATGCATTTTTGGGTCAAATACTGTAAATTCTAAATTTTCAAAAAAAAAAAAAACCAACTATATTTCTAAAGTATGCAAGTATTCATTTCACTCGAACATTTCAATATCTATACAAAAAGAGACTATATACATTTTTCATCTGCTCTAATCATTCCACGTAAATATTAAAACATATTTCAATGAAATCCCACATTAAAAATGTACACTTTGACTAAACTAAGCTTCTTTAAAGGTCAATGGTATACAAAAGTACCTGAGACATTTCATTAATATGAAACCCGGCCGGCCTTCTTGTGAATTTTTTTTTTTCCAGAACATAATTATTAAAGAATTAATCTAACTTGGGTATACCTTGTGAACATTTTGAATGTCGAAGTATGGAATATCAAAAAAAAAAAAAATCCTTTTGATTACACATATCATGGCAACAGGTTTTTCATTATCAAATGAGCCTCATCTCCTTATCACTAAATTGGTCAACATTTGATATTAGCATATCGATGATCAATATTTCTAGCCAGGGATTATGTGTATTGACATGAGGTTCAAGATGTTTTCATAATGTTTAATAATGTTTGAATAATAAAAGGTCTACCAACAGATCGGTAGATTTACTCTGTCAAAATCCTGCCCACTTCTCTTTTCCATCTGTGCAATGTGATATTGATATATTGAATTCCTTTGTAAAATTAATATCCATCTAATGGATTTGTTTATATGAATACTTGAAAAGAAAGCAGAAGTATTTTCTATATTAAATTGTTTTCTTTGAATCGATGTTCTTTATGTTCAAACTGCAATCAAAATTTAACAATACCATAGACGTATATGCCTATCGCTCTTCACAATTATCAATTTCATATATTCCTTCTTCAGTACTTTAAAGTTTTTACATATCTTGGCAAATCCAGATATATGTAATGGTACCTACCTTGTTCCTCATGCAACAAGCATATACTATATTTATTTATCATATCTGTATAAAAACTTACCTTTAAACTCACCCCTCATAAGTGGCTCCACATATGAGGGCCACACTTTCAAATGTTTGGGAGTCTCGTGTACCTCGCACTCATAATATTTAGGCCAGTAAGGCCCGTACGGCCAGAATTTGATATCTGGCGGTCGAGTCTTATATCTGGTAATAAAGTCCTCTAACTGTTCGGAATAATTCCAGTAACTTGTCTTTAGCAGATTGTTAGCTGCTGCTTTTTGTAGAATCTCTGATGTCATTTTTCATCACAAAATTTGGACATTACAAATAGATTTCTCAAAAACTGAGAATAAATACCAGATACAAAATATCACAAATTCCAGCACTATGTCATTTTCACCTATTATGAAAAAAAAATCTGAGTATTATTTCGATCACTTTTTTTGTCTATACAAGTATCCCATAATTCACTCCACTACGTTCTGTTTTGTCCGTTTGTCACTTTTTTCTTCCAATGATCCTTGATCCTGCGATGAAACAGCATGTTCAACCAAATCTTGTTGCGGACATCGTGAAAGTGAGGCTGGCGCAAGATACAGATGTGCAATGGTCAGCTGCCGTCTCCGAGTTACGCCTTCAGCCTGTGATATATTATGAATCTTAACATACTGTTTCGTAGTGTGTGGAGACAATCGGCCATTGTCTTTGGCTTCCATGGTGAGAGAGGGATAGAAGAAATCAACTCGACTTGCACTTGGCAAACAGTCATTCATCATGGAATGACAGTAAAGCCTTCGCCATTAATTTTTAAAACATTAATAACAGGAAAAGTAAGACCACTTCAGAATTCCCAAACAACCAATATACCTCCAAAAATTTATTCGTATGGTCTGTGATGTTTCAACAAACAGCACTCCCACTCTTAGTGGTGTATGTTTGAGAAGACACAACACAAATTTATGAACACTTAAGAGTTAAGTGAAATTGGGCCCAATATTTATTTAGTCCACTGTTGTTTTAGAATTATTAGGCAAATTCAATCCTGTTTTTCTAGCTTCTTACAACACTTTAAAACTGACAGATGATCCCCGACACATAGTGAAACAAATTTAACACATTTATCTGTCCTCAGTCCTCCACACAATATAAATATATAACCTATTTGGAGGTCTGTTCAAGAGGCTTATACCATTTCTTCACAGATTTTACTAGCTGTCAACCATAAATTTTCTGCCTGCTAAAACAAAGTCCCCGGCTGTTGAGCGTAAGAAAGCCCTGCCACTAGCTCACGTCTCTGCACTTCACTTTAAATCCACCTTTACCAGCACTTCTTCGCAACACAAAAGGCAAATGAAAACAAAAAAGAACAACACAGGTGCAACAAAGAAGAACATGGAGATTGTATTTTTAGTTTTCAAAATCCTCATTCAACTAAACGCAAAAGGAACAATATTATTACTATCACAAATATTATGAGGAATTATCTATGAAAGGTCCTTAATTTTTATCTATAGGCTTAGTCCCTTTAAAAACATATTTAGCATCATTCAGGCCACATACCCAGAGCTGTCGACAAGTTAAATTCTTGTTTTAATTGTCACATGTCTTGATTTCAAACCATTTAAATCACAATCAATGTTCAATTGGATTGTTTGTAGATTTAACATTAGCATTCGTGTTAATGGGGTAGTATCCACCAACGTTCTTCAACCCCAGGCACTCTTTAAGAAGCCTTAGTGTCAACTGTTGTGTAAGACATAAAAACAAAAACTGACAGGCCCCGATTCTTGTTTGATTTCCTTATCGGAAACCTTGGTGCACCGAGTTAAGATCTCCAGCTCATACTGAAATCACTCCACCTATGTTAATAATCTGTCACTTTCGAATCAGTGGATGATAAAATGACAGATATATTGCAACTTGAATGCGTATCCAAGTAAAGAAATCACCCGTCATAGAGAAAAATGTCTTTAAATACTTGGTTATTAAAAATAACAGTCACAACCATTGTTACCTATATGTACAATCACTGTATTCTATATACAGATCATAACTCTTTCCTATTTCTACACCAAACAAGGAAGGCACATCACATGCTTAGATTTCTAAATAAGCAAAAAAATTACTTTAACGCAGACAAGTTTATCAAGTTCATCAAAGGAAACTATCAATGAAAGGTATTGTAACTGCGAACCAAAATCATTATGTTTCGTCACATAATAATGCAGAAAGTCTTTGAAGCCAAATGCACTGGCTTAAACGCGGAAAACAATCTTGTTGAATTCTGTGTGCAATCCCAAGGTAAAATCTTGTCACAATAAACTGTCTTTTGATGTTGTTCAAACATCATTGTCTGAACTTCATATCAAATTTGTAATTTAATTTAATTTTCCCTTCCAATGGCATCTTGCAATGTTGGAAAAAAAATAACCTTAAAATGGCTTAACAACTGGACAATATAATCACGATGACTTCAAAATCAATAGAATCAATAAGGTTCTCAAACAGTGAAAGTAAAAAAAGATAATCTGTCTTCCATCTCCCCTATGCTATAATCAAATGTAAATTTATCTACATTTCCTATCTTCACAAGGTCACAAGTTCCCCCTAGCTAACCAAATCTTACACTCAAATCCTTAAAAAAGATCATTCTTCTTTACAAGTTATATTGCATAGAAACCAAAACTTATACCATTGAGTCCACAACTCAAACAGCAATTACAACCAAGCCAGATCCTGTTCAAACTTAAAAATATATATGAAACATGAAGAAATCAAAACTCACACCATTTGAGTCCACAACTCAAAAAGCAATTACAGCCAAGCTCTTGTTCACACCTATGAATATATGAAACATGAAATATGAACATTACAATGCAAATGATGTAATGATTTTACTCAATTGCACAGAATTCAAAATCTATTTTCAGCACAAGAAACTTTTTCCTTTGACTGCATGACTCTTAAAGCAACCCTTCAAAATATGTACATGGGTATCAGCATATTAACTATGGAAACAGATATTTTTGGGGGGATATGATATCTTTTCTATTTTGCAATTGATCAGATAGATTTGAACCAAAATTATGTCTGACATCTCACTTAAAAAGTTTCAAAGTATCTAAACTTTTAATTTGAAAGATGAAGGTCTAGACCTGTTTTCCAATAATTCTCAAGATGACATTGTGAATTAAATTTTTCACTCGTATCCACCTCTACTTGATTCTCCAACTCTACTTTGTGGTTTTCATCGTCTTTCCAACAGGTTATTTATAACTTTGACTATCTCTGGATGACCTTGAGTCAATTTCACGGAACATTTTCCGCATCATAAGAAACCCTAAATTTGTTCAAAACTCCCAAATACTAATTAAGCTAAGCTAGTGCCAATTTTTGAACACTCCCCAAATCAATCTGCAAATTCCATA